AGCCTTGAGGGGGATCATAGAGAATCGAGTGGGATATGTTCTAAAGGGCTAGTATGAGTTCCATCATAGGAAAGATCCTGGGAGTCCTCTGCAGCATAGACCAGATGAATGAAGAGGCTACTTGTTGTCATACAGAAACTCAATAGGGTAAGCTTAAACCTTCAAAGGGTCAAATAGGCAAAACTCTGTCAAAATCACAGGGAGACCTGCCTACTGTACACCCCTAGGACAGCCTACCAAGGCTCCCAAATCAAAGGATTAGCCCTTTCTCCAAGAACTCCTAAATGTTGAAAACCACCCTTCTACTTCAAGCTTCTTTTCCCATCCAGACTTCTTGTGAATTTCTAACATCTGAAGCTAGATCCTGGAAAATGATGTGTGAACTGGACCTGGGTCGCCTTCAGAACACCAACACTGTAACAAGCCCTGGCTGAATCAGTGATCCCAGTGTGGCTTTGGCCATACAGTTGAGGCTGACCATTCCTGAGGCCTGTCGACAAGAAGGACCTGAGGTCTTCATGAGGGGAAAATAGACAATGTTGAGGCAATCAACCTTTGAGAGAGCAGGAATAATTAATGGACTTAAGATAGGGTCCATGCGTGAAGTGACAAACAAATGGGACAAGTAGCACGTAACAAAGATCTGAGTCTTTGTTAAGAATTAAAGATTATGACCAGTTAAGACGTTACAAATAAAATTCAGATTAATTTTTTTTTTCCAGTTATAGCTGTATGGTAATTTGGAAGTTGGTGTAGAGATGGAATAAAAGTATGTAATGGACTTGGAGCCCACTGACTCATATTCAAATGGGCTAAAGAGAAAAGTAAGGTATTTCCATTCAATGTCTCAGGAGGACCTGGATGTAACTTCTGGACTCCTGTCCCCACACAGTCTTTGAACTAGTAGACAGTTGACTGTACTATCCTGTTTAGATCTTTAGGATCTTTAGATCTTTAGGATAAGGTCTATTCTGTTAGCCATGAGACATAATAGAGGCAGCCTTTAATTTAGTGACATCATAATATTTTGCTCTTGTGTAAAGCTACTGTACATGTATTCTTGATAGTTCTCTTTAGCTTGTTTGTTTCTCTTTCTCTTTTAGCTGGATGCTCACTTGTGTTACCTAGAGGGCACTTACAGAATAAGTTTTACAGGGCACTAAAGAAGAACGGGGCTATTGGGCTCCTAACTGGTCAAACAGTAGAGTGAGTGCAGATTCTGAAGCCCCAGCCAGGGAAGAAGGTTTATTTGTAGAATGGAGTGTTCAAACTCTGGAAAGTTCTAGATATATGATTATCGTATTTAACAGTGGTCTCTAGGTCAGGCCTAGCTGGCCATCAATTTACTCAGGTATAAAAGTAGACATTTTAATATCACCCATCGGAATTATTGTAAGGACTAAATGGTGTGATGTGTATGTGTGGTGAGTACCACTCAGTAGATGTTACTTTCTTTTCCCTTTCTGGTCCTAGCGGACTGTGCTTTCCATGGCACTGTTGATATATATCTTTGAAAATAAAACCTTTAAGAAACCTTAGATGGTACCCTCACCGCCATTACAATTAGAGGTGAACGCTCTACTATCTACTCTCTGCTCCCCCAACAGCTGCTCTCAGATCTGTTCTGGTGGGGGAGACCCTTCCAGGCCTTCTTCAGAACCATCATTTGTGCAGCATCCCCAGGGCTATGAACAGCAAGGAAATGAGGGAAAGCAAGCAACATCTGGTGTTAAACAAATACCATCATCTTACAAATGACTTGTCTCTGGGATAATGATACTTACATATGTAGTGCAGAGGGAAGTCAACACCAAGACCTGATACTAGAGAATAAACACCTAAAAGGCAGTCATAAGACTTACTGACAACTCTACTGTGTCTACAGCTAAATTCCATTTTGGAGAAAAGAGCAAGTGCTGATGTTCATAGCTTTTACTTACACCAGACAGAAATTCACCCCTTATTCTCTGTTTTGCAGAGCAGAATTCTACAAACAGAGGAGCACAATAGTGGGTCAGTGTTTGGGGCAGTGCCTGGTGGACAATGAGCTTGTGTGGGTCCTGCCTTGCTCCCTTGCTCCTGGCTAGTACCACCGCTGTCGTGCTGCTGCTGGGGTACCTGGGAGTTCTTGAAATGTTCTGAGGCATCATTTAGAGAATTATGTATGTAAATGACTAAGAGAGCTGCTTTATGCCTTGCCTGGTTGTTATGGATATTATACCCTCAAAGAAGAAAAATGTTAATGAATCATTCTGTAACACTTAAGTGACTCCAATTAAGCTGTGATGAGTATGGCTTTCGGCCAAATGGTGATAGAGAATTTGTCTTTGGAATCCTCTCCCCTCTTAGCATGGTATTTCTTCCCTCAACCTAAATTAATCACTCAGCCCCATGGGAGGCAACTGGTCACCTTATGCTGACCCAGGTCATCGAGGATCCTTTTTATAAGGTCCCAAAAAAGCCTGCTCCCATCAGATGTTGCGCACCATGACATAAATGAGAGGTTGCACAATGATTATCATAAATGTGTTTGGTTTGTCTTGCACAGCGTTTTTAACAAAAATCAATCATTTTTAGCATTGGAGAGAGTTCATATAAATATCTTGATTCTTAACTTCTCTAAAAAACAACCCGAAAAATTTGGCAACCCCGGGTTAACATTTTCACGTTAGCAACAACCTGCTGGAGCTGAGCAGTGGCTGCTCCTTTTAGATAGGCTACTGTTGTTCCTTTGCTATTGTCCCCACTATTCCCTATTCTTTCTCTTCCCACGTCGGTCAAATTTATTGTCAAACAATTGGCTCTTTTTATTCACTCATGTTACCTTCCTGGCCCTGTAGGTACCTATGTTTGCAGTCTCTGCTTTAGACCTTCCAAGCTTCTTCACTCTTCATCTGCTTCCATCCAAACTTTGCCAACTTGTGTCCATTTCCACAAGCTATCCTGTTTCAGTGACAACAAAAGGAGCTCTAATTGGATCAGCACACTCACATAAAAATATAATGATTCTTAACAGCTTGGTGTCTTTATCCATTAACCATGGCCATGAGAATGCTGCTTAAAGTGAATCACAAAATCTTTGCAAGCATACAAAAGAAAATGCTTTTTATTTCAAGTAGTCTGCCCATTGGATGAAGGTCAGCGGTTCCAGGCTGAGCTCAGCTGGAGGGGATGTGGGGAATGGTTCTGTGCCACATGTTTCCCATCTTCTTCCTGGGAATAGTGAGCTCGCCCGGACATGCTCTTATGGTGATGGCAGAGGTGCAAGAGAGAAAGTGGAATTGAGCTTCCCTGGGTGGCAATATTCTATGTGTGTTGCCACACATTGTGGCAGGTGGAGGTACCATTGTCCGTGATTCCACAGGGCGAAGATGCCTGGGGGCTCACATATGGATTCCTCCCAGACTCTGCCCTATGCATCTCTTCTTTACCTGATTTTAATCTGTATTTTTTCCCTGTAATAAACCATAACTGTGAGTGTTACAATTATCAGTGAGTTCAATGAGTCCTTCTAGTGAATTATCAGAATTGAGGGTGGTTTTGGGAAGCCCTTTGGACTTGAATTTGTGTCAGAAGTGAGGGCAGCAGTCTTGTGTAGGCTGTTCCCTAACTTTGCAGGTGGCTTAAACTCTCATAGAATGAAAACAATGAAGGATGAAAATGAAAGCTAATAATGCAAACTGCCAAAATATCCCTCTTAACTATATCTGTATTCATTCGTTCGCCAACTCAGCAAACACTTATCGAGCACATACTATATGTCCAATTCTATTCTAGGACCTGAGACTAAAAGAAATAAATAAGATGCAGCCTTAAATTCTAGTAGAGGAAATAAAATATAAAAAGCAAACAAATATGTGAAATAATGTCAGACTGTGAGAAGTACTATGGAGAAAAATAAAGCACGGCAAGTTGGTGGTAGAGGTTAGCTCTTTTATATAGGGTGGTTAAGAAAGCCTCTTCTGGAAATTTGAACAGACTTGACTGAAATAAAAGAAAAAAATGGGCAATGATTCAAGGCCGGAAGGTTCTAGAGGGGTGGATGAGCAAGACCAAAGAAACAGGGGAAGCATGAGAACAGGGCACTCCAGCATAGATGTTACTGTAACACAAGGAATTCGCCCTATAGGAGGTTTTCTTCATGTCATCTTTGGAGGACTGTGGTGTGCCTGTGAAGAATGTGGGTGAGAGAGACGGCGTTTCTCCAAAGTGCCACAAATAAAGTCCGAGGCCAATTTCTCTGTTTGTTTTTGTGCAACTTGCTTAGATTGTGGTTTCTTCTTTGCAGTCAATAAGAGAATCGTTTCACTTGCCTCTTGCCTCCCTCACAGAGGATGGGCCATGCTTCTAAGTGCTTCCAGTTTCTCAGAGGGGAAAAAAGAAAGTAGGAAAGTACAGGAATAAGAGTTATTTCTATTAATTTTGTTCATTAAGCGAACAAATGAGCATGTAGCTGGAAAGTACAGGGTGACTAAGAAGTAGCCCAAAGGGAAAAACCTACTAGGGAAATTTCATTAAAAAACATAATTTACATATCTACAGTTTGGGTTTCCCTCTTAGCCTCTCTGTGGTTCTCAAAGTCCCTGGGTATGTGGGTGTCGAAGCTGGAAGTATGAGGGGTGGAGGGTACAAGTGAAGATTCTGTGGTTTTGTGGGAAGAGTTGTGGAGTGGGAGCCCAAGACCCTGCGGCCAGCTGATAAGTGCTCTCCAGATAAGACTATTATAGGGGCTGAGAGTCAGAAGGTCTACTTTAAGAAAACTTGGCTGGTCACAAGGCTCAACAATTGGTAGCTGCTGTGGTAGATTTCCTGGCAGGATCAGTTCAAGTACATTATTTTCTATCAAAAATCCTTCTCTTTATAGGAGGTCCAGAAGGCACCCTTGGGGCAAAGGGGAACCCTGCCTTCCCCATTTGTTGGACTTCCTCATCTGTCAAGTCAGTCAAGCCAAGAGGCAGGAAGCAAGGTAGAGAGATTGGAGGCAGCACTGGGCAGTAACCATGGGTTTTGCTTCCCATTCATCAGCAGCAGTCACAGGTATTTCTAGTCAATCGCAGGTATTTTTTGCATATGTGTGACATGCTCAGCATTTCACAGGTGTCTGAAAGACAGTACTAAAAATGCATTCACCGGCCCCTCCTGTGAGACTTTTACTTAAAGGGCATGACTTACTCTCATTTCCCTTTTCTCCTTATCCAACCTCTGCTTTCCCTGAACGCCTTCCTCACTAATTCCTTCCCTCCTTGTAGAACTGCCCTCCACTCCTTATGCCACATCTCTCACTTCCAGCTTCAGACCTTCAGGAGAAAAAACTGTCGAATTGAGAGACAAAGCAAGGTCTACTTTAAGAAATAGTGTCTTCCCATATAAACTTTTTGAGAATAGTTTTTTCCTATGCACAACCTACATGCTACTTAGTGAACATTTAATAGTGAACTAAAACTTCCTCCTCTCCATGCCCATCCTCCTTGTGCCCCTTCCTCGAGAGGTGCAGTTGAGGAGAACTAACATCATTAATAGTTATATTAGAAGAACTTTCTCCTTCCCTGGCCTCCAAAATCTGAACAGGTTCTCAAATGTCTGAGTTCCAAATGTTATGACATGCTCTACTGGCAAGCTCTCTGAGAGAAATAAAATAACAAAGCCACAGTCTTGACATACGTAATAAAAAGAAGGGAGGGTTTGAGAGTGAGCAGAAGTGATGACGGCACTGGCTCTCTTGTTTCATGCCCAAGGTTAATGTATGCCTGCCAACGGCAGTGAGAACACGTAACCACAATGTTTTCTAATGATTCCGAGGTTTTCTCTTTTTAAAGTAACAGAGCAGAAAGACACGAAAGTGACAGCTCGTGGTTTCAGAAAGACAATAAACACTTCATTTGTATTCCCTTTTCCTTTCCCAGTGAAAATGAAGATCAACCTAGCTGTAAACTCCTCTTACTTGTTTAAGGAAGACTCCAAGTTAGCACTGGGAGCTGTTGCTTTTCCATAACCACCTCCACTTCAGCTATACAATGTGAAATTATTTTTTAAATTGTAATGTGGCTTGTAGTTAACCTGAGAATGTCTCATAAGGAATGGCCTTCTCAGAAATATGTTCATACTTTGGTATAAGGGACTGTTTAGAAGACGAGGAAGAATATGCTAAGTGTGAAAACATGCTTGGATATTTCAGTAGGTTAACAGGGAGTTGCTGTGAAGTCACATTTTTAGGCTATTAATAGATTGGGTATTTTTTATTTTAAGCAATATGGTTTTCCATGTAATACAAAAAAGTACTTTTTGCAAATTTCTAGAAATAATGAATAAAGTCTCACTAATATCTAACCGTATCTGCAAGAGAGTAAGGGCAATCTGGAGGGTCCAAATGAAGAAAGAGCTTTGAACTTTCACGACTGCCCCTGGGGCTGCTGAGGGTGGAGAGGAGGGAAGAGTGGAGTGGGTGCAGGTGGGGATGAGCAGTTGTCCAGGCTTGGGAGCTGACTGTGGAATCAAGGAGCTTAGGCTTTAATGACCATCAGGACCACAAGAGGAAGCCTAGGACCTAGGAGGATAGAAAGTTGGAACTGAGATCTTCCCTAGTGTAAGGATGAACTAAAAACAATTGCTTACTCACACAGTGAGATGACAAGAAAGTTTGTATTAAAAAACAAAACAAAACAAAACAAAAAACCTCCCCTTAACATTCATAATCATAGAGGTGCCCTCACATGGATATGATTAAATTTATATTACTAGAGTGATCTAGGACACACCCCACCAAGAGATTAGTAAAAAATGCTGTCACAGACTAGTAATACCTATGGGATACCTTGTTGAAACAAACATAAAATCTCTCTAGGAGGTCATACCCTATACCCAGACCCTTCAAGATTCCCCTATATGAAGTCCCAACTAAATGTTACTTTACAATAAAAAATTACGAAATACACTCTAAAACAATCCATAAAAAACAAGTTAGCAAACAAAACAAAAATAAATATTAGAACCCTCAAGGCTTTAGATAATATAAATATCAGGTAGATTCTAAAATAAACATTTTTAAAAGTTATGCAAGTCATAAAAGAAGTAATAAAGAACACAATAAAAGAACAAGATACCATCAAAAAAGACCAAAAGACCACATGGAGTTAAATAAGCAATCGAATATAACTTCAGAAATTTAAAAAATGACAATTTAAAACTTAATATGTTAAACCAAAGATTATATATCATTGAATAAATCACTAGCGGATAAAAAGATAGACCTGGGGAATATTGAGGCCTGCACAGAGAAATGAAGAGAGACAACGAATGGAAGAAGAGCTTACTGACATGGAGTGTGGAATGGGAGGGCCCAATACACATCTATCAGGTGTTCCAGAAGGAAACAACAGAGATAATGGAGGGCAAGCAATATTTCAAGAGAATAAAGGAGAATTTTTCAGAATTAATAAAAACTACAAACCTTAGCAAGTTGATAATACAAAATTCTCTACTAGACACAACATAAGATAGCTAAAACGACACTATGTAGAAAGACAAGATCTTAGAAACACTTGTAGGTAAAAGACCTATTGCCTTCAAAGGAAAAAGTATCAGATTGTCCAGAACTTTGCAACAGCAACGAAAGAGCCAGAAGACAGTGGAATAATACAGTCAGAGTTCCAAGAAAAAATAACCATCAACTTACATTAAAATTGAATTATTTAAGAAGATGAGCAAAATAAACATTTTCAGATACATGAAAAGTGTTTACTATTAACAGATCTTTGCTGAAAGAATTATTCAAGACTGTATTTCAGAAAAAATTTACTCTAAAAAGAAGCAGTGAGATAAATGATATTAGATAGAGTTGAACAAGTATTTAATATATAAAAAAGACTAATTGGGGAATAGGGAAAAAGGTGGAATGAAGGCACTGGGCACAAATAAAGTGTCGTAGTTATAATTAGAGTAGACAAGTTTGTCTTTGAAGGCAAAAAAAAAAGGAATATTAGGGAAAAAACAGTCAATAAATAAAGACAAAAAGGAAAAATTCACTGGGAAGAGATAATTATGAAAGCATCTAAAACACAGCATCAAGTTATATGAGACAAAAAGTTGATAAAATTTCAAAGATAAACAATTGCATAGTCAAAAGGAGATTTTAATACATCTCTTTCAGTAATTAATACTTTGAGATGACCAAAAATTAGTAAAGATACAGATCTGAACAACACAATGAGCAAGAGACCCACGTGGAGAATGCACGTTCTTTCCAAGAACACATGACACATTTATCAAAAGATCGCATATTAGGCCATAAAGCATTTTCTCGTTAAGCAGCAAAGAATCATACAGACCACATTTTTTTTAACATATTCAAGTGCTAGACCACAAAAGCAACAATGAAAACCTAACCATATATTTGGATTTTGGCCAGGGGAACCCTCTAAATATTTATGACTAAAAAGTGTCTTAATAGAGGGTCTAAGAACAAATTATTAACATTAATAAGAAAGGTCAGCAAGATCACTGGCTATACAAAAGTAAATTTTTATTTGCTGGCAATAAGCCAGTAGGAAAATATACTTTGTAAAATATACAGGATATGTGAAAATAGCAACCAAAAAATATAAAGGTACTAGGAATAAATTTACCAAAAGATGTAGAAAACTTTTATGTATGAAATTTTAAAAATTCCTGAAGATGTAAATAAATGGAAATATACCCAATATTGATGACTTTGTAGACTCAATTTCTAAAGATGTTAATTTTCCGCAGTTTATAAATTAAATATGTTCCTATTAAGATTCAAATGAGGTTTTCGAGGTTCACAAGTTGATACTAACATGTATAAGATAGAGCTGAGAACCAAGATGCCAGAACAATTGTGAAAAGGAAGATCGATACATGAGGGCTCACTGAGTCCACCACCATAGCAAGACTTAACTGTAGTTTAATTAAGTAATAAGAAAGCATGATATTAGCATAAAGAGAGACACAAGAGAGTCTAGAAACAAACTTATACACATATGGAAAGTTGTATATAACAGAGATGCTATTTAAAATCAGTGGGGGAAATAAGAACTTCTAGCAAGCAGCATTGGAACAATTAGTTATCCTTATGGAAAAAATAAGTTAGTTCCTTACATCGAACCATATTTAAATGGATTAAAGACTTACATATGACAAAGCATGATTTTAAAAGTTTTGGAAGAAAATGAAGGAGAATGTTTTTATAATCTCAGGTAGGAAAAAGTTTCTTAAACACAATACCCGAAGCACAAACCCTAAATAAAAAGATTAATAAATTCGATCACATTAAAATATTTTTAAAAAATCCCTTTGTACATTAAAGATACAAACAAAGTAAAAATTACAAATCTTAGATTTGGAGAAGATATTTGACATGCACATAAACAAGAAAGGATTTGGCTCAGAATTTATAAACAGCTCCAAAGGAAAAGGTCAGACGATGGGAATGGGCAATCCTCAAACGGACACCCAATGGCCTCAAAAATCTAAGAAAACATCTTCCTCCCTCCTAGTAAGCAATGTCATGTAAACTAAACAAAGAGAAACTAATAT